GCCACACTTGCCATTACTGCCAATAAGCCCCACAGTCAAGTCAATCAGTGGAGCCACGAACTTGCGACCAAGTCACTTGCAACAGATCTAGTACGCCCCTTTTATTTTTCGATACATGCATGTCTTGCTAATAGGCCATCAACGTATCCCGTTTCTCCCCTCCACTAGGCTCTCTTGCGTGAGGACTTGAAGGTTCTTGCGATGGCACTCTCACGCCAGAAAACTTTCCAAACAGCTGAGGCTGAACGATGTGCCAAGTTCCTGGACCAAGAACAAACATCAGCGAACACCCCTGAAATTCTTGATGCGGATTCCACCTTGACGAGTGCCCAAGGATCGGTGCCAAAGTACATGGTCACCTTGAAACACGCAGAGACGATTCTCTCAGCCATGGCTGAACAACACTCTACTTTACATGCCGAAGAATTTTTGTCTCTGATGGAAGCCCGCGTGCATATTCGCGACTTGGAAGCCGTGTTGGAAACCAAAGAGGAGAAGCTCCGAATTCTGACAAAGGAGTTGAGCGGCGCACAGGAACTAGTTGCTTCTTTGCAGTCTCAAGTTTCTGCTGCTTCAACTCCTCCACCGGCGGCAAATCAACAGGTTCCCTCTGTTGTCGTTCTCGAAAGTGAATCGATCGCTGGTACACCTGTTCCCAGAGCTTCCAGTGAATCAACTCTCTCTGTGGCGGCCAACTTGTTCCAAAAGATTCGACGTGGCTCAATGATGTTCAGTGCTTCGACAGCGGCAACTGCTGAGACTGGTGCCGTTCAACCCGTCATTCCAGGATCATTCCCTGCAACCATTAAAGAACCACCCGTTCCCTCGGTTGAACCACCAAAAGCAGCGGCAACAGCAGCAGCAGCAGCAGCAACAGTCGTTTCTGCAGGTCTTCCTGACGATAAATCCGCATTTCTCGATGCTTGTGGTGAATGGTTCCAAGGCGCCGAAACCTATGACTTTTTCATATCATACAGAGTAGCGACAGAGGCAAGAACCGCCATGGAGCTTTACTTTCGACTTAAAGACCAGCGAATCATTGATGAATACGGGCATTCACGACAAGTTCGCGTTTATTGGGATAAGGAGTGTCTGAAGAAGGGGCAGGTAAGGGGGACTAATTATTTTGTCCTTTTTAGCTAGTATAGTGATTTTTTTTTAATGTTTTGTGTTTAAGGACTGGCGCGACGGTTTTGTTCAAGGGCTCAAGAACTCACGATGTGTGTTGCTGCTAGTTTCGGCTGGAGCAATGGAGGGAATGAAGCGTTCGCACTCTAGCCCAGACAATGTCTTGTTGGAGTGGGAAACGGCTGTTATGGCTGGACACAAGAGTATCTGCGTGCCTCAACCAGGTGCTTTTTTTTTTAACCCCTCGTTTTCATTTGATGTATAATACACTGATACAGTATTTTTTTAGTATTCATAAACGATGCCGCACAGAACGTGAAGGCAATCGATTCAGTTTTCAAATTTAAAAGCTCCAACGATTGCCCCAAGGTGCGCCCAGGAAAAGAGGGCGCCCACAAGCTCTCTGCCTTCACCACTCTATCATCCGTTATGCAATTGCAAGGAATCCAGCTCGATGTTTCTGAAGTGTCTTGGTCGATCCCTGATTTAATCAAGGCGTTGCAAACTTTCTCTCCCTTGAAGATGGCGGCAGCAGCCCGGCAATGTGCAGCGGAAGCATCGTTTTTCAGATATAACCCGGATCAAGCGTTTGATAGTGTGGACTTTGACTTGGAGTTCTTGACAAGTAATGATTTGAGACAAGTGTTTGGTGGGAAAGGGGCGGAGGATGGGATTTTAAAGTATAGAGATAATCTGAAGAATTTGGCGCTCTCATTTCGAAGTAAGTTGTAGAACTCCTCGCATTATATTTATTTATTTTTAAAGTACAATTTTTCTATTTCAGAGTCACCATCCATTTCGCATTCATCCATGATAATTCTTGCTGAAGGACTCAAGAAGGATTTTTTCTTCTTCACTCAGATCAACCTGAAAGGTATAATAACGTTTTATTCGTTAATCTTTGTAAACTGACATTTGGGAAAAAACAATCGGAAAAAAAAAACACAAAACAACCCCCTTCTTTTTTCAGGCGCTAATCTCCGAGACAAAACCACATGGAACCTTCTCGCCGAAGGATTAGCCGAAAACACCACCCTCCGCTTCATGAACCTATCTGAAAACGATATAACAGGAGTCCCCGCTCTACACAAGGCGATACGTGACCACCCTTCTTTAGAATACGTACTCGTGGGCCACGGATTCGATCCCATGCCGCTTCTGAAAGGAAATAAAAAGCCGGCCTACGTCGAATTCCCCAGATGCACTGCCACATCTCTCAAACTGTTTGCAGAGCTCTGGGAATACGGAACTCCAGCGATTGATTCGCTCTATTTAAACGATGATAGAGGACTGAGCATGAAGGATCAAGTCGTGCCCCCGGAGTTTTGTAGCTGGTTGGCCAAACTTTCGGGATTGGCTTACTTTGCGCTTCAAACAACTTGTCCATCGTTTATGGATGCTTTGATTTGTTGTGTTAAGGAGAACCCTACAGTGGAGGAGATTTGGTTTAATCGAAATGGTGGCACTACTGACAAGGACGACGAGAAACAATTTGAGATGATGGGGAAATCCAAAGCGTTAAAAAAAAATAAGGGGAAAAGGCAAGCTCAACCTTGGTTCAGAGCTTTGTGTTCAGCTTTAAGAGAGCGTGGAAAATCGTCTTCCAAGGCAAAAATCTTCAGTCTAAACATCCTAAGTAATTCAAAAACAGAATCTTTTCTTCCGATTTTTTGTCTTACAAAACGACTTTTTTCTACCCCATTTCCTTTTTAGACGCTGGTCTTTCAGACGAAGATTTCTCCCTCTTGCCGGATGTGCTCTTTGAAATGGGACCGTATTTGGAAGTATTGACACTTGAGAACAACTTACTTTCAACTATAAGTGCCACATCTATTTTTAAGGCAGTTTCACGAGTTGGTGAAGCATCCATGCTGTACAAATTTAGCTTAAAGAGTTGAGTCTTTTTTTTTTTTTTTTTTTTTTTTTTTTTTGTTTAATATCTGAAAAAAATAGACAACGATATCGGACCATCCTGTGCATCTGAAATCTGCAACGTCCTCCGCAACTGCCCCAAACTGGACGATTTTGACATTTCGGAAAACCCACTTGGCGATGAAGCCATTACTTCAATTTGCCAAGGGCTTTCGAACTGCACAAAATCAAATCTCAATACTCTATCAGTGGCGAAAACGAATATGAGAGATTCCGGGCTGTTTGCAATCACTGCCATGCTTCTCAAGAGTCATGATGATGATGGGCAGGTGCCAATCACGTATTTGAATGTTTCGGGTATATTATTATTATATCAGCTCTTTTTTTTGGGTTTCCAAATTATAATTATTTTTTATTAGACAATGAAATCACATCAGAGGGAGTAGCTGCTCTTGGAAACGCGCTGAAAGACTCGAGAAGTAAAATTACCACTTTGGACATGACAGGTATAATAATTTTAAACCAATGTATTTTTTTTATAACGATTTTTTTTTTTGTTAAACCCGCAGATTTGGATTGTGGGCCAGATGGGTTTCAAAGCTTCGCAGAGGCCCTCAAGAAACCTGATTCAGTGTTGACGTATCTTGATGTTACACGGTGTAACTTGGGAGATGTAGGAGCATATTTGCTTACTGAAGCTATTGGGCCCAAAGATGTGACGATAACTCTGAATGGTTAGTAATATGTGTTTTTTTTTCGTGTTTAAATACTCACCTTTTTTTTTAACTGTTGAATCAGGAAACAACATCACTGGCTCAACCGAGTTTTCAAACCTCATCACAAGCCTCATTGCAAATGGAACCATGCCCGAATTCACAATCTCAGGCAACCCATTGAGCGTTGAATTCCTGACAAATCTTGGCAAGTCTGTTGTAATATCCTCCCTACCACAACCACAACCACAACCACAACCACCACTATGCACGTCCTTGAGCTTTGGAACATGCTCCTTTGGAAACGAGGGAGCGCAAGCAATTTTTTCCACTTGTCTTCCGTTCTGGGATACTGATATATCGATTTCTTTTACTTCGTGTGGGTTGGATGATGGGGTTGTTGACTTTTTGATTGAGCGATTCAAGGGGGTTGAGACGTTGCCTACTGGAACTATTTCATTGCTTGGTAAAAAAAAATTTTTTTTTTGTTTTTGTTACTGTGGTCTCCTATGCTAAAAGCAGAAAACGCTGTGTGAATTTTTATTTGTAGATAATGGGATAACAGAAGTTGGATTTGAGAAATTGTTGACGTTTTGTATGGCAATGGAAAACATCAAAAAGAGAAATGAAGACGATGTTTTGTGTATTGAATTGAATGGTGAGTTTGAGTGAAGGAAAGGTTTTTTTCTGAATACGTCCGTCATTAAAAAAAAAAAAAAAAAAATAGGAAATCCCATCAATGACAATTGGTATTCAGACAACATGAAAAAAATTGACGATTTGAAAGGGGTAACGCTTGATTATGGACCAGCCACAGTTGAGTTTAGCAGTGACTATATTGAAGTTGGGCGATGGCTGCCTGTCGATGGTGGAACTGGCAACACTGATGACAGTGAAGGAGACGAGAAAGAAGCAGAAGGAGATGGAAAAGTAAAGGGGAGTGAGAAGGAAGTAGAAGGAGATCGGAAAGTAACGGAGAGCCAGAAGGAAGTAGAAGGAGATGGAAAAGTAAAGGAGAGTGAGAAGGAAGTAGAAGGAGATGCACAATTAAAGGAGAGTGAGAAGAAAGTAGAAGGAGATGGAAAGGTAAAGGAGAGTCCACCTGTGGAAGAATAAATATAACGAAGTTAAGGGAAAAGGGTTTCTTTCATCACTGAACATGGACTTTTTGGATCTGTTGATGTATCCGATTTTTTGGTCTTCAATTATAAAGTGGTACGGCTTGTGCTAATTGATAAAGAAGATAGAAGAATAGTATATTAAGTATATACGAAGACAAGGAAGCAAGCCCTTATAGCTCAGTGGTAGAGCGCAGCACTTGTAATGCTGAGGTCCGTAGATCAATCCTGCGTGGGGGCACATGGCGCGATCGCGCCGGAGAGTAGCTCGACTGATTAATACGTCGATTGAAGTCTCTCCCTTTCTCGTCTATTTCCATTATTGTCTATTAATCTATTATTTTGCTCAGGTATAGTTGTATCGATTTGTTTTTTTAATGAAATTTGCGTGTGTGGTTGACGAAGTGGCGCCGACAACGGACGACAGCGGCCACGAGCGGCTCGCGACAGTGCGGCAGCTGCTGCTGCGGCTTGACGAGCATGCGGTCTGTTTCTTGTTGTTGTTTCTTGATCTCTTAGCAAATAACTCCTAACAACTCCTTACAAACAAACCAAGGCAGCGCCCATCACGCTCACCGCGCTGCCGCAGCCCGACGCGCCGCACCTCGCGGCGGCCGCCGACGCCGACGCGGACAACATTGTGAGCGACGCGGCGCTGCTCGCGGCGCTGCCGGCGCCGGCGGCGTGGCTGCGCGGCAAGCCGGTGGCTGTGGCGGCGGACTGCGGGGACCACGTGGTGCAGATCGGCCTGCGCTTCTTCCGCTGCAAAACACGCGCGCTGCAGGACCGCATTCTGCTGTTTGGCTCGGGCTCGCATCTGCGTGCGTGAATGCGATGAGTGTGTGATGAGTGCGATCGCACGGGCGCTGACGTGTCTTGCCACTTTTAGAACTCGTCGCACGGCTGCAGGACATTGTCAAGGGCGCTGCGTCGCCAGTCAACGCTCCCAGCGACATCGTGGAAACAACAACCCTGCCGTCTTCGGAATACGCTGAAAAGCTGGACGACCTGGATTCGGACTCGGAGTTGATTCAGCTGCTTTTTACTGCCATTCGACAGAACCAGACTCTCGAGGCCAAGCTGAAATCAGCTGAACGGGCTCAGTCAGAGACGTTGGATAAGTTGGACGCCCTGCATAAGCGACTGGATGCTCAAAAAGCTGCGGTTTTAGTTGCTTCGGAAAAGGTAAGGGTTGTTTTGTGTTGATATTGAAATTTGAGTGTGCAATAGATTCCCACGTTGGAAACGCTACAAAATGCTCAAGCTACTTCTTCGCCGAATTCATTAATTGCTTGGATTGGGGCTCTATTGGTTGTTTTTGTTGCCATCCTTTCATTGCTCTTGTTTAAATAATAGATTGGTCTTTTACTTTTATATATTATAGAAACAAATATGAATTGCTATCGAAAACACCAACGTCACTCAACCAATTCCATCATCCAATTTTGTACACGCGACAACTCGCCACCACCACGGCCATCACCCAAACCATTTCGAATCTCAAAATCCTTGTCATACAAAACGCGAAACCCAAACTTTTCATAAAACTTGATGTTTCGTTCTGTTTGTGTGGATAATATCCACCGCCCATCTTTCAATGATGATGACGATGATGATGATCCACTTCTCGAAGCGCGCGCCATTTCCAATGCCCCACTCAACAGAAACTTTCCGATTCCTTTTCCTCGCATGGTTTCATCTACAACGAGAAGCTCAACAGTTCCATACGGTTTGCTGTTGCTTGACGTACCATCACCACCACGTGCACCACGTGCACCACTACCACCACCACAAGCCACCACCATATACTGTTTCCACGTTCGCATAAACTCCAACTGCCTCAAAAAAGCGCGAACCCCAAAATAAAACGGAAACAGCAAGAACCCACTCCTCACAATATCCCAAAAGCTCGGATCTCCCTTCATCCCACCCACTTCAGGTGTCGTAACGATAGCATGCGCCAGCACCTTCAACGTGGCCAAGCTCGCTTTATCATTGTATCCGTCTTGAATGACAATGTAGGAGGACTGAAGGGATAGGAATAGGCGGATGGAAGTGATCCAAGGAATAATGTGTCTGCGGGTGGCTGGGTTTGGGAAAATGAGTTTGTTGAAGGGAGAGTCTGTGAATTCTTTTGTGAGGAGGTTTTTGATTTGACGTAGCGCTTCTTGTTGGGCGTTGTTGTTGGCAGTGCGTGGGAGTGTTGATGTTGCGATGAGTTTCATTTTTTTTTTTTTCGTAAGGTATCTGTTATTATTTCATTCTGGTTGCTTTGCTATAAATTTATTATCTCATCCATATATGTAATTATGCTTATCACAGTCTGAGTTTTTTTTTCCTGGATTCAAATCTATTTTCTAATACGGTAAAAAAAAAAAAACTTCTTTGAACCAGGTTCACAAAAAACAATCGCCATAAAAAGGAAACAGTCGAACCTAAAGCGCACTAATTTGTCGAACTTTGGATTCGGGCTGGAGGGGGGCAGTTGAACTCAACCTGGAACAAAAACAGGATTCGACTTTCATTTTAGGTTCGAAACTGATGGCTTAGCTTGTAAAAAACCATTTTTTTACTAAACGCAAATTGACTAGTGCAGCTACATACTTCTGGTAGAAGTCCTAGCAGAAACTGTGGTTTTGATTCATTGCAGAGGACCCCCGGTGGACCGCACAGAAATGTAAGACTCCCTCCCACTTGGCGGGTGTGTTCATGTTCGACACCCGGAGGCTGATTCAATTTTTTCCTTTTTTCCATTTTTCAAGTTCAACCCACTTTTTGTGTGTTGTACATGAAAAAATCGATATAAAGAGAGGACTCACCCTGCCCACCCGCCGTCCAGACACAACACACCACTTTCAAGAATGTCTTCACTCGATCTGCTCATTTGCGCTGCCTCCATCGTGCCAACGACTACCTACAGCAACAACAACAACGACAGCAAGTGTCTTGGTAGAGAAGGATCAATGACTCCACCATTGACTCCAACCCAGAACGGCAGCCCATTCTTGCCAATTTTCAACAAAATGTCCATCTCCTGTCTGCTGGATGACGACGACGCATACCCTGAACCAGAGCAGTGTGTCTACATGTCTCCTACTTGTACAGTATCTCCCACTTCAGCAGCAACCAGTCCTATTATGGATCAATCAAAAATCAGATACCAATCAAAACTGCATTACACACGCCCAAAGTCCCTGTCCCTGCCAATGACTGCAAACAACAACAGTGTATGCACAGCAGCATCAAAGTCAGAGGCTCGATCGCCTGATTTGAATAACCCATCAAACCGATTTCCATGCACACTCTGTGGAAAAGGGTTCTCTCGAAAACATCACTTGAAATCGCACTTGATCACTCATTCTAAGGAATACCCGCATGTGTGTTTGATTGAGAATTGTGCGAGTCAGTTTCGACGAAGGCAGGATTTGTTGAGACATCAACGAACTGTGAAGCACTGAAAAAAAAAAAAAAAGAAAACAAAAAAAGAAGGACAAGGCAACAAACAACACACTTTTTAATAATAGAAGCTCCTTTCCTTTTTTTCTGTTTTTATTTATTATTTTGTTTTCTGTGAAATAAAAATACTTTGTGATACCAAATTTTTTTGTTGTTGTTCATTCATTCATTTAAGGGGGGTTTCTTTACAAGGGCGTGACACAAAGCCATGATGATGCACAAGCACTGGGACTCAAATGACATAAGCGCTTGAGCGCTTGAAACACAAGGAGAGTAAATTGAGACCCTTGGTTCTCCGATGCTTCATCTTCATTCACTCAATTTTTTTTGGCCCTTCTTCCAGAACATTTTTTATCAATATTTTACAAATCAGAAATTGAATGAGCAGCAGCAGTGGACCAGCGTGGAATGTTCCCTGGAGCGATCTGCTCAAGGCGGCGCATGCGGCGAACCACGACACTTCGCGGTACGACCGGGGGCGCGGACAGCCGCTGCTCGCGTCTGTGCGGGCAGACGGCACGGCGCGCGTGCAGCCGCTGACGTTCCTCGACTTCCTCGGGTCAGACCCGCGCGTGCTGCTGCTCGCGGGGGCGGCGCGCAGCCAGGAGCTCGTGCAGGCCGTCAAGACGAACCAGAGCCACGAGCTGTGCTGGCTCTTTGCCCGCTCGCGCGAGTCGTTCACGCTCGCGGGCAAGGCCGCCCTCGTGTGCTCGGGCGCCCTGGCCGGCCGCTTCGGCTCGGGTCCGCGCAACATTGCGCTGCCGGACCCGCTGCCCGTGTGGCCCGCCGCGAATCCATTCCCGCCGACCGCCGACGACTTCTGGCAGCGCGAGCGCGACAGGCTGTGGCGCGCCCTGGCCCCGGACTTCCGCGCCGCCTGGACGTGGCCGAGTCCGGGCGAGCCGCGAGCAAAGGCTTTGAGTTCTGCTTCGATGTCTACTTCGACTTCAACTTCAACTTCGGCCTTCAGGGGCTCAGTCACCGCGCTGCCTACGTCGTTTGCGATAAAGACGCTGGACGTTGTCGACGGCGCGGGTCCCAACGAGGAAACCCGACTCGCCCACATGGCGGCATACGACAACTTCTGTCTGGTGGTCTTTAGAGTCACAAAAGTAGAGCATTATATATATGACGGGAAGGACGGTATTCCAGAACGGAATGTATACAGTGCTGCGCGGGATGGGCAGTGGGTCGTCGAGAGCTTGAACCCATATTGATTTTTTTTTGACTGCCAAGTAATCCTTGCTTGACAAACCATTTGAAGGTGAAAGGAAAGGTGGAAAGTAGGGGGTCTGTTTTTTTTATGTTTGCTATTATTTGTGGTATATCGATGTTGGAAGTAAAACAAGAGCACATTTATTTTATGATATGATACATCTGTTTTTTTTTTTTTGCTTATCTGATATCTATTTACATGATTAGAAGCGAGTTGTTGTGGCTGGACATAACCGTGAGTGGCTGTGTTCATCGCGTGGAAAACAAAAACAAAAACACAAATTACGTGACAAATTCCTGATCCGTGGAGATTTCAACAATCCACTTGTCTTTATAATATCCTTTATACTTACATGCACACAAAAGGATGCAAGACTGCATGAAAGTTTCGTTTCTTGTTGATGAGGATGATTCCACAACACCAACTAGAACGGCTTCACCATCCAAAGCAACATCTACAGCATCAGCAGAAACAGCAGCCGCAGCAACAGCACCCGGCATGATCGAAACAACAATGAAACACCGCCGAGAATATACCACCCTTAGTAATCCTGTTCCATTTCATGAACT